AAAAACTATTACCATCTGGCAGACGGTACAGGACAATAAAAACAAGGACAAATAGGCTGAAAAACAGCTTCTATCCCAGGGCAGTAACTCTATTGAATTCTACTGTTTAGTGCAGTGTTGTGGTGTCAGGGGTTTTCAATTCAATGTGTGGAGTGTGAAGGATGTGTGTTTGTGTTTATTTTCTTGGTCATGATGTGCACTGAAGATAGTGTTTGATTTCGTTGTATGAGGTGCAATGACAATAAAGTAAATTAAACTAAACTAAAACATATTGCCCCCAACAATCTGGGTCCTCATTTTACTTGACCTCGGAAGGATGGAAGGCTGAGTCTGGTGAGACTCGAACTACCAAACTGCTGGCAGCCAGCAGTCAGCAAAAGTAGCTTGTAGTGGCCAAGCTATCCCTATCGGTGTTGTGTAGCTGTGTTGAACACTTGTGACCAATTGATAGTGAATGGTTTTGCCTTTGTCGGGCAATACTTGTGAGCAGGTCTCATATCAGGCTGTATCCGTGAGCTATTATCAGGCCATCAAATTACACATTGTTTTAAAAATGGATAGCATCCAACTTTTTTTTTTACTGTGTTCTGCAATGGATGAGAGGTTAGTTTTTGATTGCATCTGCTCTGCGGGCAGAAGTTTTTAATCCTTTGCTTCTCATACGTGCTTCACAAATAAGCACATTAGATTCTTTGTACAGTTACATAGATTGGGGAAGGGGAGTCATGGGCACCAAATCCTCCCCTACTCTTAGAGAGTGAGAGAAAGCAAGGGAGGAGAAAGAGAAAAAGAGAGCTGTGTCCAAAACAGTTCTACTATATTTTCCCCCTATCGGTTCTCACTCAGTTTTAATGATACTTTTCATTCATTACAATTCAAAGCAGACCTTTTCACAAATGGGAGAACGGCATTTGTTGAGTCATTTAGCTTAGTGGCCAAGAGATCAATGTGAATGTCCTATTTTTCTTTGCCCTCTCGTCTCTCCGGTGCTCTGCAGCCATTCTAGCTTCTAACACTTCCCTTAATTCCCTAAGGAAGGGACAGTTTCCATGGGTTGGCTGTGAAGAATTCAGAATGAAGTAGAAAGAGGCCATGGAAGACAGTAGCAACCATCACCTCCAAAATCTCACTGAGAAAAATTAAAAGGAATTGTCCATTTTGCTTGAAACTGGTAAAAAAAAAAAAACCTGAAGTTTCTTCCACAGGTTAAAAAAAGACCTCTAGATCAGGGGTCCCTAACCCTGGCAACTGTGGACTTTGACTCCCAGAATTCTGTGAGTTGAAATCCACAAGTCGTGAAGTGGCCAAGGTTGGAGACCCCTGCTCTAACGAAATAACAAAGTAGATTTCATTATAGAATGGTAGTCAAATCTTTAAATCAACTGGTCCTGTTGTGCAGCCGGAACAATCTGGAACTTGTTATCTTATTATTGTATTTTATGATTGATCACTTTGCTGTTTGTATGTACACTGAGAGCTTATGCACCAGAGACAAATTCGTTATATGTCCAGTTACACTTGGTCAATAAAGAACATTCTAAAGCTCACATCCTCTACGGTGATCCATGGGCACCAACCAAATCACAAAAATAGTCTTTAGCTCTTACCTGGCTCCCTAACACTTTTTAAAGGGGGAGTTGGCACCGCCATGGTGCCAGTCTCCAGAGCCATTTTCATTTGTCAGAATGGTTTGTTGGTAAATAAAGGACACTAGTAGGAACAGGTACCAACAGAAGAGGATATCTTGGCTCAGGGTTGAGCTGCGGAGGCCTTGGAGCTCTCTGAGTTTGGTTGTTTCCTTGCAGACGTTTCATGACCCAACTAGGTAACATAATCAGTGCTAGAGTAGTAGGTGTATGCAGGTCATTTGAGAGTCGGCTTGGTGTAGCAGTATCAGGCTAGAAACTGGGAGACCAGGAGTTTTAGTCCTGCCTTAGGTTTGAAGCTGGATGGATGACTTTAGGCCTGTCCCAGGGGTGGGCTTCAAAAATTTTAGCAATGAATTTTCTGCCCAGTTGCTGGGTGGGCGTGGGCGTGGCCTAGTTGGCCTCTTGCACTACGGTGGTGTGTGTGTGTGTATTTGCCCTCCCTGAGCTCCAGAAGCTTTTCTCCAGCCTCCAGGAGGGCGAAAACAGCCTCCCCAGGCCCAGGAAACGGAAGCCGGAAATGGGCCTGTTTCCAGCTTTCTCGAACTTCCGGGAGGCCCATTTTTCGCCTTCCCCAAGCTTCTGGATGCGCCCTCACTTACCTGCATGCCAAACGGGCCACGCGGGGACTCCTGGGAGGGGTGGGAGGGGCCAGCAAGGAGTGGGATTTGGGGGTTCTCCGAACTGTGTAGAATCTTAGCTATAGGATCTCTCGAACCCCTGTGAACCCCCAGCAGCCCAGCCCTGCACCTGTCCCTCTCTCTTCGCCCTAAGAATGTGACTGCAAGGGGAAACCACTCGGAGGCACACAGGAGATCATTCATCCCTCTCGTCCATCCATCTGCCCAGTGGTCTAAAAACAATAGTTAAACAGTAAATGGTAGAGTTTCCAAAAAGGCTAGTGGGAAGGTTTCAAAGCACCTGAGGAGAGGTTAGGAAGGAGGCTCAGGGCCAAAGCCATGCTTTCTTGATGATTTGTCCTTTTTTTTGAAGCCTGTCTCTGTGTAATTAGAGTGAACAAATATGTCATCTAGGATCATCTCTGTCTGTAGGGTAGATAGACAGTTGAAAATCACCCTGATTTTCTGAAAATTAGGCCAAAGTTAATAGTAAAACCATTTTTGTACAACGGCCCCCCAAACCTGCACAGTTGTGTCCTAGTCAGTAGTCGTCAAACAGTGGGCTGGGGACCACTGGTGGTCCGTGAGAAAATTTTGGTGGTCCACAAAGAAATATCACCCCCCCTCCCAAATCAATTAATCCAGGCTGCGCCACCCACATGGCCTGCGGGAACACAAGGCTTGCGTCACTTGCATTGCGAACAACACAAGGTAGTGAGGGGAGGGGGAAAAGGGCGGAGTGGGGAACTTGCCCCATGCGCCTGGCCACTGGGCTGCTTTTTTTCGCTTCTTTCTTCTTCTGCTTTTGGCTGCACGCAAGGAAAGCAGCAAAAGTCTTTCTCTCCCCCAAACTCCACCAGAAATGAGTCTTTGGGACTCCGCAAGGCTTCCTGTTCCAAGAGGCTGTGCCGGCACGACAAGTCTCACAAAGACGCATTTTTGGTGGAGTTTGGGGGCGAGAAAGAAAGACTTCTGCTGCTTCTGCTGCTTTCCTTGCATGAAGCCAAAGGTCTCTCCCCCCCACCCCCTGAGAACATAGCTGGAGATGGTATCCTGCAACCCCAAATAAAGAACGATCAATTGGTAGGAAAACGGGGTGGGGGATTTTTCTGCAGATTTTTTGGGGGGATTTTCCCAGGGTCTTTGGTTCGCAGGATTTAAAATTATGAGTCCCTGAGGTCCAAAAGGTTGTCCTTCTTCCAGTCTACTGGTGCTGGAACAGCCTTGGCATCTAATGGAGATACAAACTTTAAGCCAAGGTCTTCATTGTGGGGATTTAAAAATAGCTGTCTATGGGAAAGCATCAATTTGGCTTATTTTCCAGTGGGAGAAATATATAATTTACTGGTTTTTCAAAGACTATTTTAAACAAATTCCATCAGTTCTAGGCAGCATCTGCCATGCCTTTAATATCCATCTGTTCAATCATTAATATCATTAATAATCCATCCATTAATCTATTTGCTCCATACATTTGTTTGGAATAATCTTATTAATGCATCTAACTGATATTAGTTTTAGTTTCCCCTAATTGTTCTGATTAATTAATAATGGATAGCCTCTATTAATCTACAGATTCCCTTTTCTTTACTGTTTTTTGAAGACTCCGGGGAATAGTTTTTATGAAAATGCAAATTTTCACTGTGTATATGTATGCAATATATAAGCTTAAAAGTTGTAACTTGCTCTTATAAAAAGTAGAAAGGAAGCAGTATTTTCTGTTATGTGGCTTATTTTTGTGGGACAGTCTCCCCGTTAGGAATAGAGGAGAAATGACTCATATTTTATTCACATTTTAAGGTAGAAGAACCAAAGTTGTAGTCCCAAAAAATATAATGAAGCAGGGTTCACCATCATGCCAACATTTACCATTTTTGGGATCTCCCGAAATGTGTATTAAAAGTACACATATTAGAAAAAAAACATACACACATGTTCCACTTAAATTAGGTAAAATTGTTTGGCAAAAAACAAAACAAAAACCTAGGAAAAATATACACATGCATCTGTGAAGGGATCCTTTCTAGTTTTCTATGAAGGGAGAGTTTTCATCCCAGCTGATATCTGGTGGCCAAAGTCAGACAGCATGAATTGAATCACTTAACAAAATCTGATCCCAATTGTGGTCATAAATTGAGGATTATTATTGTTTTATGGATGTTGAAATCTGGTCAAAACTGGAAGATTAGTAATGTTTGAAATTTAGTCTGATTTGTTAATGTAAGCTTAATTCTCGTTCTCTCTCTCTCTCCTCTCTCTTTCCCTTTCTCTTTCTTTTTCTTTTTCTCTCTCTTTCTCATTCCCTTTCTCTCTCTTTTTTTCTTTCTCTTTCACTCTATCTTTCTCATTCCCTTTCTCACTCTCTCACTCTCTTTCTCTTTTTGTTTCTCTCTTTCTCTTTCTCTCTTTCCCTTTCCCTTTCTCTTTTCCTTTCTCTTTCTTTCTCTTTCACACACACTCTCTCTCGTTCTCATTCCCTTTCTCTCTCACTCTCTCTTTCTCTCTTTTTGTTTCTCTCCCTTTCCTTTTCTCTTTTTCTTTCACTCTCTCTGGCTATCTCTCTCTTTCTCATTCCCTTTCTCACTCTCTATTTCTCTCTATTTGTTTCTCTTTCCCTTTCTCTCTTTTTGTTTCTCTCTTCTTTCTCTTTCTCTTTTTCTTTCCCCTTCCCTTTCTCTCTTTCTCTCTTTTTCTTTCCCTCTCCTTCTCTTTCCTTTTCTGCCTCTACAAACAGGCCTCACAGCCATGGCTGAAGCAATGAAGTTGCAGAAGATTAAGCTTATGGCCATGAACAGCCTCCATGGAAGCGGAAGTCAGAATGGGACCGAGTCGGAGAACGAAGAACTGAATTCGAATGCAGGTAAAGCAAGTTTCAACTGTGAATTGTTTGCACATCTGTGGAGATTCTCAGTCGTCCAGGTCATGGTTATCCCAAAAGTGCTTTTTCAAGAAGGTGAAGGGTTTGCATTAGATACATAAAGAGGTTTTATTTTCGCTTCGTTGCTATTTTGAATAAGAAGCACCCTTTAGTCTTTTTATTGGGAAACGAGAGAGAACGTCACACCTAAAGCAGCTTCAGGAATATAGAGTGGAAGATGACTTTCCGTTATTGTCTTAATGCAACATGAATTATGCTATTTCTCCCCCCCCCCCCCTTTAAGAAACCATCTGGAATTGGCAGGAAAAGCCCTACGTGCACAGGAGCCCCACTGGGTTCCCCCTCCCTCTTCTTTTTTGGCAATAGTTTTGTTTTCCCTTTTTTGCTTTCTTTTTTTAAAATGTTAATTGTGCCTTTTGATTCTGGAAAAGGGCAATGTGAAGGCTCTGTCAGAAGGGAAAATTGCGTAGGTAACTGGCATTCACCTTATGCAAAATAATCTTCATTTGCATGCCTGGAGGACAATTCAGAGGTGTGAAAGCACTAATCATCCCCAGCCACTCCTGAAGACTTAGGATGGGTAAATAGCAGTAGCACTTAGACTTATATACTGCTTCACGGTGCTTTTACAGCCCTCTCTAAGCGGTTTTACAGAGTTCGCATTTTATCCCCAATAACCTGGGTCCTCATTTGACCCACATCGGAAAGATTGAAGGCTGAGTCAACTTTGAGCCTGGTGAGGTTTGAACTGCCAAATTGCAGGCAGCCAGCAGTCAGCAGAAGTAGCCTGCAGTACTGCATTTTAACCAGTGGTGGGATTCAAATTTTTTTTACTACTGGTTCTGTGGGTGTGGCTTGGTGGGTATGGCATGGCTTGGTGGGCATGACAGGGGAAGGTTACTGCAAAATCTCCATTCCCTCCCCAACCCACTAACCTGCTTTCCAGCTCCGTTCTCCTGTGCAGGGCAACAAAAGAAGACTAAGATTGGACTTAAGCATGGTACATAAAATCATTTGTTACCAGTTAATGAATATTTCAGCTTTAGCCATAACAACACAAGAGCACACAACAGATATAAACTTAATGTAAACCACTCCAAACTTGATTGCAGGAAGTACGATTTCAGCAACAGAGTGGTCAATGCCTGGAACTCACTACCTGATTCTGTTGTCACCTGCTCAAACCCCCACTCCATTACCCTCAAACTAACCTCCATTGACCTCACCCCGTTCCTAAGAGGTCTGTAAGGTGTGTGCATAAGCGCACAATCGTGCCTACCATCCCTGTCCTACTGTCCCCAATTATTAGTTTCTATTTCTTATATTTAAACTTATGTTTATTCTTATTTCTATTATATTGTAAGCACTTGACAAAATAAATAAATAAAATAAAAATAAATAAAGATCCAGCCGATCAGCCGGGACTCAATGGGAGGCAGAGAATAGATGGGGTTGGCGGGGCCAGTCAGAGGTAACATTTGCCGGTTCTCCGAACTACTCAAAATTTCTGCTACTGGTTCTTCAGAACTGGTCAGAACCTGCTGAATACCCACCTCTGATTTTAACCACTGTGCCACCACGGCTCTTCAAATACTTCAGAAATATTCTGTAATAGAGCCAGTTTGGTGTAGGGGTTAAGGCTAGAAACCAGGAGAGTGCGAGTTTTAGTCTTACCTGAGGAGCACGGCCAGCTGTGTGACCTTGGGCCAGCCCCTCTCTCTCAGCCCTAGGAAGCAGCCAACGGCAAGCTACTTCTGATACAGGTAGATAAGTCACACAGGACCTTCCGTCGCATGTGCAACTATTGCAGCATTCCCATGGTCACGTGATCAAAATTCAGGTGCTTGGCAAATGGCTCACCCTTATGACCGTTGCTGTGTTGCCAAGGTCACGTGATCACCTTTCGCGACCTTTTGACAAGCAAAATCAGTGGGGAAGCCAGGTTCACTTAAAGAACCGCGTTGCTAACTTTATCAACCGCAGTGATTCACTGCGGCAAGGAAGGCTGTAAAATGGGGTTGTAAAACTCACTCCACAGCTGCCTTGCTCAACAAAACAAATGCTGGGCTCCAACGGTAGTCGTAAGTCAAGGACCGCCTGTATCTGTATAGTAAACCTGAGATGTCGCGCAACATTATCAACCAAGATTTGGTGAGGTGGGGTGATAACACATAAGGTATTCGACCCATTAGTCTACCACTGGGCTAAAAATGAATAAAATGGTGCGGCAAACCCCAAAATAAAAGAAGGTTGTGTTTTAAAAGTCACTTCTTCTGAAATCAGAAGACGCAGCGTGCACACACACACACACACACACACACACAAACACACACAAAAGCAGTAAGCCACGTTCACCGAGGCAAACATTTTATTTTAAGGAGACAGACCTACAGTTTCTTTGATTCGAGGTTGCATTTAATAGCTTCTCTAATGGTTGCAACATGACCACGCATCTTGATTTCAGCATGAATAACAACCTGTTCGTGTTTCATTTAGTTCCAAATGAGAAATTCTGTCTTTTTATTGTTTTAGGAAATTAGTCTGTGTACTATTGCTCCTGAAATTTTATAATTAATCACGAAAGGTTACGGCTTTTGAGAGTTTTTTGGGGGGTGGGGAGAGGTGCTTGAATGACTATAACTGTAGCTGTCAAATCAGAAATATGGGCCTTCCCGTTTGTTTTGAACTGTGCATCTTCCATTCTTTTGAAGATATGCTGCTACACACAAACACACACTATGTACACACGTACACACTTGAGTGCAGAATTACAAAGAGTTTGAAGTTGCAGGTTGACTTTTGAAAAACGGGAGAGAATGCTTACTCCTCTTCCTGAGTTTGCCATGGTGCCTTTTTCACTGGAGAGATAGAAAATATATACGGGTATCTCCTCGACCAGGGACTGTTTGAAGTTATAACGGCACTGAAAAAAAATGGCAGCTGGTCATTTTTAGAATAGAATAGAATAATGAAATGAAGAAAGAATAGAATAGAATAATGAAATGAAAGAATAGAATAGAATAATGAAATGAAGAAAGAAGAGAGTCGAATAATGAAATGAAAGAATAGAATAGAATAATGAAATGAGGAAAGAATAGAATAGAATAATGAAATGAGGAAGAATAGAATAATGAAATGAAGAAAGAGTAGAAGAGAAGATAATGAAATGAAAGAATAGAATAATGAAATGAAGAAAGAGTAGAAGAGAATAATGAAATGAGGAAAGAATAGAATATAATGAAATGAAAGAATATAATAATGAAATGAAGAAAGAGTAGAAGAGAAGAGAATAATGAAATGAGGAAAGAATCGAATAGAATAATGAAATGAAGAAAGAATAGAATAATAAAATGAAGAAAGAGTAGAAGAGAATAATGAAATGAGGAAAGAATAGAAGAGAATAATGAAATGAAAGAATAGAATAATGAAATGAAGAAAGAATAGAATAATAAAATGAAGAAAGAATAGAAGAGAATAATGAAATGAGGAAAGCATAGAATAGAATAATGAAATGAAGAAAGAATAATGAAATGAAGAAAGAGTAGAAGAGAAGAGAATAATGAAATGAAAAAAGAATAGAATAGAATATTCTCCTCCTCCTGATTTTGCTTCTGCTTCTGCTTCTTCTTCTTCTTCTTCTCCTCTTCCTCCTCTTTCTTCTTCTTCTTCTTCTTCTTCTTCTTCTTCTTCTTCTTCTTCTTCTTCTTCTTCTTCTTCTTCTTCTTCTTCTTCTTCTCCTTCTCCTTCTCCTTCTCCTTCTCCTTCTCCTTCTCCTTCTCCTTCTTCTCCTCCTCCTCCTCCTCCTCCTCCTCCTCCTCCTCCTCCTCCTCCCTTCTCCTTTTCTTTGATCCTGCAAATCCAGTACCTCTAAAAGATATTCCACCCTTTCTTTGAATCACAGACCAAGTCATGCTTGCTAAACATTACAGCAAAATTCCTTTAGGTCATTCTTGACTTCCAAAACAAACTGAGAATAAGCATAACACTTAGCTCTCTCTTGCTTTGCTTCTATCTGTTGCAAATGCAAACATCCTTCACAATCTGTTTTTTTTTTTTCCTTAACCCCCACCCCCAAATACATCACTCAAAGGAATATTTAAAGGAGCATCAGGAGGGGAGGAACTCATTGGTTTAATGGAATGCTGTCAAGGAAAATCAGCATCACAAATGACACAAGGGCAAAATTGATACTTCTGCAATGACACACTAAAAGAAAACCCGATGCATTATTTAGAAAATTCTCGAAAATCTGTCAGCGGATTGCCGAATTAGCAGAAGTGGGGTTGGAGCAGAAGGAGGTTCGGAGTGCAAGAGATGTGTGGGCTGTTCCTCGCTGTAACTTTTCATGTTCACCGTCCACGCAGACCTAGTGACTACCTGGTCAGCAATTATCTTCCAAGCTCTTTTAGTGTCTTCACTCAAAAGAAGTCGGTTTTTTTTTCCCCCCTTCTAAAACAGGGGTGTCAAACTTGATTTCCTTGAGGGCCACATCAGGGTTGTGTTTGACCTCAGGGGTGTGTGGTCAGCATGGCGTCACTCATGTCGGGGGGGCACCTGTGGTGGCCTGAGCTCTCTGTCAGAGAAAATGGGCTTCCTGACCTCCATTTTCGGCTGCGACGGCCTCCTGTAACCCTTCGCCAATGAAAATGGAGCACGGGGAGGCACACGTGGCCCTCGTGAGCTCCACTTTCGGCTGTGACGGCCTCCTACAATCCCTTTCTCAGCGAAAACGAAGCTCGGGGAGGCATGTGTAGCCCTCACGAGCTCCGTTTTCGCTGGCAGAGGCACTGTGGGCTGGTCCTTTGAGAATTTTTTTTCCCTTATTTTCCTCTCAAAAAACTAAGCAGGACCACATAGTTTTGTAGCGAAGCACAGGTATTGAGCTCGTCTGAAATATTCTGCTATCTGTACAATTTAACCTAAAATCATCTGGGTGAGTAGAAGCTGTTGGCTAATGCAGATCTGTCTGCATGTTGATCTAT